CTATGTGTGTTCTATTTGCCTGCGAGGCTTCTGAAATTGAGCTTTTGGGTGTTGGGGCTTGGGTGGAGGCTGGGGAATGCTGGGGAATGCTGGGGAATGGTTGAGTTGATACTACAGTGCACGATTGGGTTTTCGGCTTGAAGGCAGCAGCATAGCGTAGCTTAAGCGGGTGAAGTTTGACCGCAGAGTTTGGAGCTTCAACCACACATAGCTACTTGAGGGTCATTCATGATTGTGGCGGGTAGATTTTATGACGGCTTTGGAGAACCTCCACTACTCAGCCTTTGCGACGAGGGAGGGCAGGCGAGTGCTTTACTGGCTGAATTCAGCGAGGAACCTGAACTAACATTGGCAAAATCCGGCCAGAAGAGGTGCACCCAACTCATCCAAGAAACCATGTGCCCAAAACCACAGGAAGGACGCACGAACCTTGTGCATCAAATTCGCGCTCTGAAACGCGGAGCGTGTTCGTGGGTGAGGCTTCTTTGCATACCGAAAGCCCGAGTTATATCCTGCCGTCAATTCAGCGTCTGCTGCTCCGCCCACGGTTTCACAAGCTGCGGACGAGGAATGCTAGAGCTCGAAAGCCCGAGTGTAGCAGTGGAGTTGTCGACGTCCCGCTTGAGGAAGCTGCCGAGCAAGTGGAAGGTAAAGCTCGGAATTGGAATGGCCATGGCCAGGATCATGGGAGTAAGATGCAGAATCAGTCCTCCCTTCCTGCCAAGGTGTCGATGCCGCAGGGCTGTGCGCCGCGAGCTTATTCGCTCCGGACATTCATGAAGGGCTTGGCGCTTTGGCTCTGGAGCACTGAGGGGCCTGCGGTGCTCATTCTTGTTGTGATTTTGCAACTGGCTTCTTGTTGTTTGTGCTTGCACCTGATTCGCTACAGAGTGATATAGCATGGTCACCTATAACCGACGAGCAGTGTGCCTGGAAGCCTGAATCCGACTTGTCGGAAGAACTTAGACGGCGTTGGGTTTAACTAGTGACCAGTGGGTGTGGTGTGTAAATCGTTGTTTGTTAGGTTGCTTGGCGGAGGTGCCTTAGATCTATGATCTGCTTGTTTGGCGGTGTTCAGATGGGCGACAGCCACTTAATCCGAAGACCAGCTTGTCTGGCTGCCGAGAATGCGCCGTGGGGTTCGGAGTACATGGGTGTATGGGGAACCCAATCCGGAGTAGCCCGAAAAAGCACAACCTCATGCTACTCAGGCCACAGCCCAAGAAGAAGAAGGCGCAACGCTTCACCCGTGTGTTGTGGAAGGGTTAACAAGTGGGGAACGTCGCGCAGAACCCTTGATCAAAAGATGTTCACACAGTAACTCAAAAAATGCCTTTTTCACGTTAGATGATGCTGAAGGCCGTGTTGGTAGCCACCTCAAAATAGCACGAGGCATGATTGTGGTGAGAGTGACATGGTGACTGGTACGGACGACTTTCTTCAATTGCTCTACTACTAGGTCATAAGGTGATGCTCAAGATTTGCGTAGCTTTGACTATAGAATGCTATAGGATGGGCTCGCCGCGGTTCTTTGGGACCCCAGGCCGCAGGAGGCCGCCAGTCTAAAGGAGAAGTGCACCAGGGCCTGCTACTGCTATGGTTACTTTTTTAGTTGCTAGATGGTTTTTCTAGTAGTGCTTAGTGACAAAAATAGTAGGCCCCCAAAGTGACAGATTGACAAACGCAGCTCAAGCGCGTGATTGAATTTCAGCATAGCGGTGTTTACATTCCCGTGTGTCTAATGGGCCTTGTATGAGAAGCAGCCCGGGAGAATCACTACATGTGATGTTATTGTTGGCAATTTCGTTTCGCCCAAGTGCTTTGCACATGGTGTGGCTAAGCATCGGCAGACGATTCGAAGCGCTGTCCAACTCATTCTTTCACATCAGTCATGAAGAGGCTTTTGTGGTGCAGGGCTTGTGGCAATGCCAGGATAAGAAGGACAAGAAAGACAAGAAGAAGCAAGACAAGCGTGGTTCTCAATGAGAATGAGTCGGCACGAACGCATGCTGTGCTCAAACTAACACGTCCTGACGCAGGACTGTGTTCTTCGATCCCAGCTGAGGGTTTGTTTCAGAAGCTGCTAAGGAAGAAAAAAAGCAAAGACAGCAAAAAGAAGAAGAAAAGCCACCGGACGGCACTCATCCGGCGAGTTGCTCGTTTTCCGTTGTTTCAACGACACAGGGCCCTGTGCAGCTCCTTCCGCCCCCAGGCAAGAAGAAGAAGGCAAAAAGCAGCAGCTCTTCGCCATGTGGCAGCATTTAACATGCGGTCTCCACGTGGGCGTGTTTCGTAGGGTGAGCATCCCGAGCTTCTCTTCGACGCGTGCTGAAGACTGCTACCCTGCCAGAGGGGTCAGATCGCGGTATTGATCGATTTCCCTTTGTCGGTGGCCCCATCCTGCGCTGTTCCCTGAGCTGCTTTGTCATACGACTGCTCTCGGACATCCTGGGTCACATCTTTGTCACCAAGAAAGTCTCCAAATCCGACCTCTTAGCGAACTGAGCCAAGCTCAACCCTGAGTTTCCATACTCTGGACATCGCCTCAACCCTACTGTAGATCCAGACATCTCTCGACCCCACAAAGCATCTTTAGAGAAAACCGAGGTCCTCCTCGAGCTCATCGAGCTCTGGAGGCAGCATTTGGGTTCCACCCTGCGACCATGCTCGCCGAACTAAAGAAAGGCGAAAGAACCCCCCTTGGCCTTAAAATCCCTTAGGCTGCAGGCAAAGAAAAGCGTTCCCTTAGACTGTAACAAATGTAATGATGATAAGAATAAGAAGTACAGCGATATACTCATTGGATCTATGTTGCAAGTCGGAAACCAAGTCCCCATGGTTCGACAAATCAGCCCGGTCACTGGCTCGCGGTCCCGGCAGGAAGCCCTGCAGCGAAGAAGAGGAAGAAGAGCTGAGCAGTGAGCAGATGTGAGCAGTAGATGTTCGGCTTAGTGGTCTTGGTGGTCTTGGTGTGGAGTCGGGAACTGCCTGAACCTGGCCGCAAAGTTTCAAGCCAGGGCTTGTTCCAAGCCTGCAAACTCGACCACTTGGCATCCGCCTGGCTTTTGGATTCCAAAAGGGCATCTGCTCCCCAAACGGCTGCCTCCGTACGCTAGAGGGCCAAGCCAAGGGAACTCTTCGGGGCATTAAGAGGATCCCAAATCGGATCTCAGCTCAACCGACAGTCGTACTCTCAGATGACGTGGTGACATGCGAATCCACGTCATTCCGGCCTCAACACGGCAGCCGCCCTTGGTTCAAAAGCCTGAATCTGTTTTCCATGTCTTCGCTACACTCGGAATTGGTCATGGTGCGAGCTTGCTCTGTGCTGTGGCCGGCTTCCGGGTGGCGATGATCGTTGTTACATACTACGTATAAAAATTCAATGACATAGTTGGGCAAGGGTTGGACAAGTTACGAACTCAATTCCGTCAACGCCCCGAACTCGAAGCAGGCACTTTTGCGGTAATGCCGGTAATATCATGTTTCTCACGGCTTCGAGGAAGAAGTGCTGTGCAGATGCTTTAACGTCTGTGTCCCTACCAAGAGACGGCCAAACCCCAAGGCTCGGTGTCCCTGTGCGCCAGAGCCAAGACTGCAAGTCACGGAGCCGCTGCTCGAGGACCGAACACCTTGTGTGCGTGCTTGGCGTGCTTCTTTGCTGTCGGTTTTGGGAGATCAGCGCAAGGGGTTTTTCCAACCTGAAGCCCTGGAGCCTGCCACTGCCTTCAACCAGAACCCTCGCTCCAGCGCTGTCAATTTCGGACCCTGCAGCAGCATTCGCCTGCAACACATCGGCCAACGATTGACCCGTAGGCTTGGTGCAAGGAGTTCAAGTAAAGATGATCCGGCCCTGAAAGACTGCTTGATCGACGGTCAAGCGTTGGAGGCCAACCCCGCGTACCAAGAGGCAGGGGACGCGGAATGCATCGCAGGGATCGTTGATGCTGCCTGAGTTCGAGTCTACAGGGTGTCAAGTCATTCAAGTCGTTTCGCTTTGCTGAACGTTTGGCTGTTCAACGGCAAGCAGCGCACTACGGCAAGCATCGACGTGCCGGGGCTGCCGGAGTAACGCAAGTTGGTTGGACTCTGCCTCGGCGCAGCTGCACCAAAGGATGAAGGAAAAGATGCGGGAGGGGGTTGTCGATTGACTTACATCATCCGCCGATGCGGGAACATAGAGTTGGGCCGACGAGATGCTTAGGAATTGGGGGCCTCTTGAGTGAATTATTCCGGGAACTGCTGGTCCGATTGAGTCGATCTTGGCATGGTGCTGCGCTGCTTCAACCATTACGAATGAATCATGGGCCGCGCTTCTTGCATGTCCGTTCCTTTCAGAATTTCTGGCTCTTGATGCCCTTCCGTGACAAGTATTGTGAGAGTTCGGCTTCCGTGAACCTTGAATCTGAAGATGCAGTGAGGCCTATGACCTATGACGTCAGGCCTGAGATACGTGCCTGCAGTTGGCTCAGAAGCCAAGGCGTAGATAGCCACGTCTACGACTTTATACAGACACTCTAGACTCGAGACGAGGCCACGATTCTCATCCCGGAGTCCAGCATTCGATGGGGTCTTATAGTCTTACGGCCTGCACTCCGCAGATCGACGGTCGGTTGAAGTACTTCCGGTGCCGCCTTCGGCCTCGTGCGCCGATTGCACCGAGAGGTGGAGATCTGAGTTTCGTGTCTTGGGGGCAGAGAAGAAAGAGAGTTCTGTGAAAGTGAAGCCTAGGACCTAGGAGCATCTGAACGGAAAGGAGGCTTCTACTCTTACGAGAGTTGCTTTGCTGACTTCCCTCCACAGGTGCGGTGCCATGTATATCGGCCCATGGCAAGAATACAAGCCGGAAGCTTGGAACAAAATGGTTGCCTTCCTTGAGAGGTAGATGCCAGGATGTGATCGCTGCACACCTGTTACCTGGCAGCATTGAGGTGCAAGCTGATAGGCCCTAGCGCCCTTTAGAAAAGACCGAACCGTTGATAGCATCAGCAGAGAGCACCATGGGCTTCCGTCTCCTTTGGTTCTTGGCGGCGCTGGCCGATGCGGAGTCCTTCAACGAGGAGACCAACCTCCTTCAGTTGATGACCCCATCACAGGAACTCCTCTCCATCAGCTCCCCGGCTTCTGGCTTTAGCTAAGGTCCTTCTCGCCTGTCTATGGGTCAAGCTTCGGAAAAGGCCAAAAAGGGTGCCAGAAAACCTAGCTGAGGCGCCTACGGCACGGATGCAGCTCAAAGCCAGCTTCAGGGGCAGGCCGAAGGAACTGGGGAGGCTGAAAAGCGTCCTCACCACGACTATGCCGAGATTGAGAGGTTGGGCTTCACTTCCGCAGACGACAAGTGGAGCAACGCGCCCTTGCCACAGGAGCCCGCCAAGCCGGTAGAGGTGATTGTGACCGGAGAGCACATTGTCAAGGCTACGGGGCACAAGAAGTCAAGCGGAGCTTCGCCAAAATCAAAAGAAACAAAGGCTAAGAGCTCGGTGGCAACTTCCCAAAAGAAGAAGAAGAAACAGGTCCAGGTGAAGAAGGAGCGAGAGCACGGCAAGGCTCAGGAGGTCCAGGAGGCAAAGGCGAAGGACGTCCCAGCCAAGGCAACCAAGGCAGCCAGCAAAGTCGCAGGCGTCGTAGGTGGCGTAGACTCCGAGGCTTCCCAGACTCCCCAGGGCAGGGCTTCGCCGGCTGCCGAGTCTCCAAAGACCGTGCCAACGCTACCGCCGACCGATGCGGAGTCTTGTGGGAGCTGGTTGAAAGACTGCCGCAACAACTTCAATGTTGATGCATGCATGAGCTACAAGTCACTCTGTGCAGCTCATGCCGAGAAGGACGCCCTGAAAGGCCTCGCAGGGCCGCCTGCTCCCGAAGCTTCGATCCCAACTCCAGCGGACGCTCTGAAGGAGACTCTGAAAGACCCGAGTCTGGGCCGAAGCCAGGTGCCTAGCAGTGATGAAACCGAGGCCCCGGAGTCCCCGGCTCCGTCTCCCTTTGGCCTCCCCGACCAGGCACCGACCGAACTTCCAGCAGAGGCCGGGGCGGTGCCTGTGGACATCAGAGAGGATGCAGGGGATGCAGAGGAGCCTGAGGCGGAGGCAGCCGTGCCCACGGCGGAGGAAGCAGAGCCCGAAGTAGCAGAGCCAGCAGCAGAGGAGGAAGCAGAATCCACCGAAGCTGCGGTGCCTGCGGAGCCTGTGGCCGAGGAAGCGGAACCCGTCGTAATTGCACAGCCTGCGGTCGAGGAAGCGGCAGACCGTGCGGCTGAGGAAGCAGAGTCAAATGAAGCTGCAGAGCCCGCGGCAGAAGAGCCTGCGGGCGAGGAGGCAGCAGAGGTCGCAGATGCAGATGCTGCGGGGGAGGCAGCAGAGCCTGCCGCGGCCGAGGAAGCAGAGCCAAGTGAAGTTACAGAACCTGCAGTAGAGGAGGAAGCAGAATCCACTGAAGTTGCAGAGCCTGCCGCCGAGGAGGCAGAATCCAGCCAAGTGACAGAGGAAGCAGAGCCCGAAGTTGCAGAGCCTGCAGCAGAGGAAGCCGAATCCACCGAAGTTGCAGAGCCTGCCGCCGAAGAGGCGGAATCCACCGAAGTTGCAGAGCCTGCGGCCGAGGAAGCAGAGCCCAGTGACGTAGTAGAGCCTGCAGCGGAGGAAGCCGAATCCACCGAGGTTGCAGAGCCGGCAACCGAGGGTGCAGCAGAACCCACCGAAGTTGCAGAACCTGTGGCCGAGGAGGCGGAACCCAGCGAAGAGGTCGAGCCAGAACCTGCTTCCCAGGAAGCCGAGTCCAGCGAAGTGCCGGCAACCGAGGTGCAACCGACAGAGGCCTCAGATGTCGCTTCCGGGACTGTCTCGCAGCCGTTCGGTTTCACAGTGGCACGTCACTCCACATCAAGCTCGAAGACGTCCGCCAAAGCAGTGGCGTCCAAGAAGGTGTCGTCGACTACGGCAAAGAAGTCAACAAAGAAGTCAACAAAGTCAGTGAAATCGAAGAAGCCAGGTAGCAATGGCCAAGACTTTCATTCAAAAAATGTGTTGCATTATGGCCTGATGGATGTATCTAGTCACCTAGTCACACGCCGTGCGCAGACGTCTTTGTTGGAAGGGTGGTGGTTTCGGGGGCTTGGGGGGGGGGGCTCTGAAAACATCCAGCTCAGGAAGTCGACAACGTCGACAAAGTACTTGACATCGAAGAGCACCAAGTCCAAGAAGTTGGTGAAAGCCACGACCCATCGCAAAAGCAGCGAAGGGAGCTCCAAGTTCGTTCTGCCACAAGCGGTCACGGCTGTGACGAAGCAGGAGGCCGAGATGCCAAAGCCCTAAAACTTCTCACATACTTCTATCATATTATATCAACTAAATACTTTTATGATCCTGCATTGGATTACGCTATACTACATCTCCTACTCCCCGGACGGAGGGCTTTGAAAAGAAGCAGCGCCCCCCCCCCCCCCCCCCCCAGCCCCCCAGAAGGTGGCCGTGCCGACCACGACCTTCGCCTTGAGCCGCCTGGATGCTTTGGGCGCCGGCGCGGGCACCTTGGGCCTGGCCCAGCAGCAAGGCCCCGAGGATTCCAAAGCTTTTTTTATTTTTAGGGTTTAGGGTTTAGGGATTTAAACAGGGTTTAGGGATGGGCTCGGAGTTTCGGAAAAATAGTTGCGGGTTTTTTTTGGGGGGATTGTTTTGAGGAAGGGTGCGTGTGAGAGAGGAGGGTTCGGGGCTTACTGTACTGTCACCGGGTTGACCCAACTAGGGTGTTTAGAACATGGAGTCTCTTCTGGTTGCTTGGCCCAGTGTACTGGTGGTATGGCATGCTCTGCCGTGACTATTACTATTGAAGGGCGGGGGTGGTGCGGGGCGCACCAGGTTTGTCAGAAGTTCCTGCGGGGGTTTTCAAGTTGTGGTTGGATGATCCGTGATCTTCTAGGGCTTTACAGAATCGGGCTGATGATTATGCGTTGATTATGTGTTGTCGATTAGGTGTTTTCAACAGGCCCCAGGCTGTTTTCAGATTTTGCTCTGGGGTTTGTGGGCTTTTGAGTGTGAAGGCTTGACTGAATGCCGAAAGTCTTGCAGATGCCCCACATGAATATGCGATGCCAGGTGACCGCCAGGATTTCGAAACGGCAAGGACCAACATGTGCTCCTGGTGGCTCCAGGTGTGTGGCAAGGTGGGAGGATTTCGAGAATCTTCCCTATGTAGGGTCTAGAATGGAGTCAGTGCTGTTCTTAGAGATTTGCGCGTCCCCAAAACAGGGACACAAGTAGCTACCCCAAACCCTGATCCGCTCCTACCTTGAGCGAGCTCGCGAGTCGAAACCCGAACCCCTAAACCCTTAGCTGCCTTAGCTAGGGAGGCAAAAATTCATCGAAAAAGCCCTCCACGTCTTCTGCGAGTGTGGTTCGAAAACCTAATCGAGCACCTGGACAACCGTAGACCTTCGACCCAAGAAGGAGTCGAGTCAGGTTGCCTACATCAGTGTTGGAGCTGTCAAAAACGAAGAAAACGAGAAGCCCAAGACACAGGAGTCCGATCGCATGACACAAGGCAAGCCCGACACAGGAGTCAAGAAACACACGACGCAGGAGTCCGACCGCATGCAGCGCAGATGTCGAGCTTGTTGAGTCTAGCTGAGAATCGATGTTTCTCTCTCTGACTCTCTCTCGCTCTCTCCATGATATGTACGATCGATCTACCTTGTCTCCTTTAATTTATCTACCTCTTCCATCTGATGGGTATATAACATGTATGTACACATAGACGTGCATTTGTTTGTTGATGTAGTTGTTGGCATGTGTTCTCGATCAAACTCATCTGTAGCTGTTTGAGCAGGGCTTGTGCCTGAAGAGCGAAGGTCGCAACAGCAGGCGTGTGCGACAAGTATGCCAGCCTCTGCCGATGACTTTCCGCCGCGAAGTTGAGGGGCTTAGGTTAGGTGAGACGTAGTACTTAGTACTTTCTGTACAAGTTTTGGGCATCTATTCAGATGGATGATGACTCTTTTAACTCCGGAAGCTCGAGCTGTGCCGAGTCGGTTAGTGAGGCTTGTTCTCCATATGGAGGCGTTCCTCAAACTAAGGGCGCGGAATCCAAGGTTGAACTTAGCGTCACTCAACGGGATACCTGATTGTGGGATTCTCCACATTCCGAATAAACAGATACATCTTCCCAGGCCCTTGTTTCTGCTGTCTGTTACTTAGGTATTTCCACGAAGTCAAAGACTTCGTGGTTCCACGGACAGCAGAGGGGAGCACAGATGCAGCCCACGAGTTCAAAATAATCCGCACTATGTCGAGCCAACAGTTCTCTGCGTCTCCTGTCATGCACCACCTATGTCACTTATGTCGCTACATCATAGTTGACTTGTCCTTTGGTAGTGGGCTTGTTGTTGCCCTGTCTGCGCGCTTCTAGACTAGGCTGGCACGGCTGATACAGCATCAGCACCAAGCCCTTGTCCGCTTCCCAGTGAATTTTTTGGGGTGCGTTTCGGGACAAGGCTTTGCCTTAGTGATGTTATCGTCGGGATGTTTATTTTTCATCGACGTCGTTTGCGCCAGCATCAGCATCACCATCACCATTATTCTAGGCCTTTCTCAGTGGTCGAGGACAGGAAACAACGTTTCTCCTTGTTGGACGTGCAAGTCTGCACCACGTCCTCAGCCCCAGCTCTACCAAGGCTCACGAGTCCGCTAGGGAAGCGGTGGGACGATCAGGACTCTTTTGATCTGGGGGTGCTCGTACTTTTAAATTTTGGGTGTCTGGGCATTAAGGATTTTGTCGCTCCCAGGTGCAAGCGAGGCTTTAGGGTTCAAGACTTCGAGGTAGCAGAATCCTTGAGGACGGCAGTGTTCGACGATGTTTGACCGGACTTACAGCCTGGCCCGTAGACAGCCCTCAAGGCCCAGCCGGCACCCGGTGATCTCGGGCACCAAGCCCCAGACCTGAGCAGCAGCACACGGACACGCACGAATCGAGAAGAGTCCAACACCCCAACCCCTGAAGCGCCAACATGGCAAGTCCGAGAGTGCGCGCCGAAAGTCCCAAGCTTTAGTCGCTGCGCCGGCAAGGGTGCTGAGCTTTACTAAACCCTGGAGATTTGGTGGTTGTGGATACTGCGCAGAAGTGGGGCCTTACAATATGGGACCCAAGCAGTACGTAAGAGGCGAGATCCTCGGCAGACGTCCTGAACAAGGCATCCCCAGTCGACGAACTCCCTTCCCCCTTCATCCCCCTTCCTCCTTGTTTCTTTGTGGGTTTCTTTGTTGTTTTTGTGTCTGTTTGTTCGAAGTTGGACTTTCGATGCTTGTACAGGGATGATTCTGCCATTCGAAACTGGGGTCTCAGGCGTTTATTTGTGCTTCACTCCAAGCCTCCGCATCTATGGGCTTCAGCACGTGGCACTCGGTTTCTGGAAGTCTGCCGATGACACAGGAATAGTGTCCATGCAACATCTACATGCAAGGTAACCGAAACCCCGAACCCGAACCCCCAACCCCCCCCCCCAATAAAACAGCGTTGTCCAACACTTCTTTCGCATCTTCATCAGGAAGTCGGCCATCTAGTCAGCGTGGGGCTGAGGCATCCCCATCTTCATCCAGGCACATGACGGTACCCTAACTCTTCACGATTAAACCCCGTGTACATGCGTGGTCGTAGGAGAGCAGGTGATACTCAACGCGTCTACCGCATTTCAGCTGTGTCCTTATTGTCAGTGGAGAATGCGTGCAGGTTGGATCCTGAAAGTCGAACTGGCAACAAGCCTCCCATCGTGAACATGAGTGCTGTTACACCGAACCTTTCCAGGGAGCCTTTGAACAGCAAGCCCTCGCCTAGCGAGACTGCATGAAGCATGTCTTCACGACAGTTCAACCTACCGACACCCCGAGGCTGAAGATGCCAAGCCTGCGACTCCGTACTTCGTGTTCTAATAAGAAGCCCTGCATACATATTCCTGACTTAGGAGGCTTTGCCCCGCTGGCAAACTGCCGGGGCGACATCTGGAGGAAGGGTGGTTTCGAGCCCCATGAAACCACCGATTTTATTGATTCGCGGGAGCGAAAAATCCTACAGGTATATGTATATCGATATTTATATCTATATCTACATCTTATCTATCTCCATATACCTCTACCTATCTATCTATATATAGCTACCTCTACCTCTGTACATTTGCCGTCGGTGCTGCGCACCAGGGCTTAGAGGTACACACCCCTGCCAGCTGCCGGCACCCGACGAATCCTCTGCACCCGACGGTCTCCAACCTCTGTAACCCGACTAAGACCTGAACCCTGAGCCTTGAAACCTCGAGGCAACAGTTTCATTGCTTTGAACTGAAGCCATTCCAACATCCAGCGCTTCCGCCCGCAACTCTAACTACTAGACATGTGCATGTGCACCTACATTCACAAGTACATAATTGGAATACGCGCACATGCCTTAAACGTGACAGGTCTGGATTCTCCGGCTTCTCCAGCAACAGCGCTCCCGCCGGTGCTTCAGAGATCCGGTGCAGTTTCGATGGAAATGTTAGGGGTTTCGGGGCTTAGGCTGTTTGGTTGTTTTGGGTTCCTTCGCAGCCTCGCATTGTTGGCGTAGGATTTAGGAGCACCAGGGTTTTTGGATGGTTTGGGACTTAGGCTGTTGAGGTTTTGTAGCGGTTTAGGCCCTTTAGGATTTACGGTGATGAGCGAGTCAGGCTTTCACAGTAGAACTCTGTACAGTCTGTGCAGTGTTGAAGGCTTCCATGTGTCAGTCTATCGTTTTCTGGGGGGTGCGGAATCATTTAGAGGGGCTGCTGCTACGGCTCGATCAGAATTTTCGGTCATGTTCTGATAAGCCCTAGACCATACAGCATCAGCCTTAAACCCTTGCTCCGACGGATTGAAGCCATGCCAGTCTTGCGCCAGTGCGTCAGTCGAAACCCTTGCGGCACTAATGATTTTAGGCCAAACTGCTTGTTTAGTGGGGTGGGCGTGGGTCCTTCCAGTGATAATTGCATGAGAATGATTGGGTCCCTGGAATTGCTTGTTCGCTGAGCACTTGCGCCTTGCCTTGCAAATCCTGTTGCACAGACTTGTCGCGAGCGTGAGAGTGGAAAGCCCAAAGCCAACAGATGAAACAATACGTACAATATGAGTAATGTACATACATAAAGTGTGTTGGAGGCACGGCTTCCTGGGCCCTCCCCACAGGCCTTGTCCTCGGATCTCTTTGAAGTCGCTCTCCAGCTCAAGATCTTGTCAGATCGTATAGGGGTTCCAGCGTGTTGTATCGGGCTTCACACGGGTTGTATGAGAGCTCGCTGGCCTAGCTTATGTGGGCATTCGGCTTCGGTGCTCTGTTTATTTATGGCGTCCATGAGCATCATCATGGCCCGGGAATAGAGTAGAATTGAACGGTCCAAGCGAAACACACTTTTGTTGCACCTTTGTTGCACCGTATGCAGCCCTTGTTCAACATCTTTTTGGTCTCTGGTCTGTTCGGGCTGTGCCGCCCTTCCCGGTGACTTCACTCATGGCAATGTCAGGTTCGCCTCAAGGATTACTGTGACAGCCGGAGCCTCATCCGCGTTACGGTCAGCCGCTCCCAACGGCTACATGCAGGGCTTCTGGCCGGGACGGATTCAGGCATGACACCGCAGAAACCTTCTGACGGGTCTTTACCTGACGAAGGGCTTACAGACTGAGATTCATTGGGATTCAAAGGCTTCGGGACTGGTCCGGCTTTTTGATGTGCATATCCTTCTTGGAGTTCTGTTTAGGTGGCGAGTGATTGCAGCTAGAAGTCAGGCATAGGTTCGAGACCCCGGACTGCACAGAGTATGAAGCCGTTGCCAAGCTCCTGCATGATCGTAGCACCAGAGCGTTCATTGAAAATGATTGAAAACGGAGCCGCAGTACAACGACTGAGCTTCCCAGGTGTAGAGCGGCTGAGCAAGGCGAACGATCGGAGGCAGGAGGATGCAAGCTTGCATAAGACAGTGGCAGGGAAGACTTGCCAGTAACTTGCAGATCTTGAGGCCATGCCACATGCTGCACGCGCTCTGTTCCGAGGGCCTTCAGGGGAGCCGAACGTTTCTTCCAACGAGCCAACAAACAACCGCACCTGTGGGGCAGAGTGTTGTGGATTTGCTGGCGTCAGCAACAAAAAATCTTTAGGAAATTGATGAAGGGCGGCAGGGATATCACATGTCTGGAGTGCCAGGCGATGGGCGCCACCAAGGCCTTTGCTTCGATTCGTTCTTGTGGCTTAGGGTTCAGGGCGCCCTCAGACGGATAGCTGACGGTAAAGTATTCCTGGCTGGAGATTCGGAAGTCGTTTCCCCCGAAGTTCACATCCGAAAGGAAGGAATAGGCCGACAAGGCCTCTGGCTCGATCGGTGTGGGGGTTCGGGTTTAGGGCGATCCCTCAAATCGACATGCGCCCCGGTGACCATGCATCTTAAGCATCTCTGTTTTGACCCCGAGCTTGTTGAAGAAGTTTTCGGCTTTCCTTTCTCTGCAGGCCCCGCCTTCCCAGTGGAAGCAGCACCGGTAGCACCCGACCGTCTGCCGCCTGGTTGTTGAGCATAGGGAGCAGAGCCAAGAGTTCAGGAACTCTTGCATTCAGTTCATGTTGCAGCTGTGGATTTTGGCTGGCGTTGTTTAGTTCTGTTTTTTCTTCGGGGCTTGAAGCTCGGGGCCCCCAAGCAAGGCCGGGCAAGCCAGCGCGAGAGCGTAAGTAATGCTGGCCTTGAGATGCGTGTAGGTGCGCAGTGGTCCCAAGGATTCGGGTAAATAAGCCCACACACACGTCTCATCGCTAGCCAACATCTTCTCAAGCAGCAAAAGCCTATGCGGCACAGAGACAAGCCGGGCGGGAGCCAAAGAAACCGGACCCTATTCCGCCAGGGCTTCGGCCAGGCTTGGTAAGCTTGGCGCGATGGCTATGATTCTGAATGCTGGTCAGTACTGCTTTTCTTGGTATGACTACTGTTACCACCAGAATGATTGTGACCCTGGTTTGGATATAGCTGCTGTCGCCAGCACTAGTACCCTCAGCCGCAGAAGGCTGGATCTGATAGGTGTACCCCCTTTCTCCCGTGTCACATTATATCTATCTGTCCACACTCAGTGTCTCGTCACCGAAGCACATGCGAGGTATAGCAGTAGCAGCCGTGGCAGCGACAGAGGCCCAGGCGGAGATGCATTCTGCTAGTTTG